AGCTAATGTGTATAATTGTATACACACTCGTACAGAGGGAAGGCTGTTCCTGCACCAGATCTTCAGCCGTTCTTCTTCTTCAGTCTCTGGGAGGATTCATATCTATATTCAGAAATCCTCCTTCTCGAGCACTGAACTTTAACCTGAGGTGCTTCGGTCCCAGGGGTCGCACGACCACTTTCGATGGAGAAAAGGAAATTACGATCTCCAACAATCCGTCTTTTAGCTTTACTAGGGGGGGGGGGGGGCACAATTCATGGAAATGTAATCACAGTATGTGGAAATCTCCAAATGCTTAAAACATCCTTGTTTGGAGCAGATCCTAATTTTCACATATGATCAAATAATAATATGGTGCAGGTCATCTCCACACACACACACACACACACACACACACACACACACACGAACGCACGCACACACACACACGCACACACGCATCTCCACACACACATGTATCTCCACACACACACACACACACGCACGCACACACACATCTCCACACACACGTGTATCTCCACACACACGCACGCACACACACACGCACACACACGCATCTCCACACACACATGTATCTCCACACACACACACACACGTGCACACACACGCATCTCCACACACACATGTATCTCCACACACGCACACACACACATGTATCTCCACACACACACACACACACACACGCACACACACGCATCTCCACACACACATGTATCTCCACACACACATGTATCTCCACACACGCACACACACACATGTATCTCCACACACACACACACACATACGCACACACACACACACACGCATCTCCACACACACATGTATCTCCACACACACACAGACACACACACACACACATGCGCATCTCCACACACACATGTATCTCCACACACACACACACACACACACACACGCATCTCCACACACACATGTATCTCCACACACGCACACACACACATGTATCTCCACACACACACACACACACATGCGCGCATCTCCACACACACATGTATCTCCACACACACACACACACGCGCATCTCCACACACACATGTATCTCCACACACACACACACACACACATACACACACACACACACACACACGTGCATCTCCACACACACACACACACACACACACACACACACACACACATGTATCTCCACACACACACACACACACACACACACACACACACACACACACACACACACACACACACGCATCTCCACACACACATGCAACACCTGAACACGACTGTTGTGATTAAATATTTGCAAAATCTATTTGGAAAGCAAGCAGAGAAGTCTACGGAGAAGTTAGACATGTTGAATCAATAACTGACACAGATGGGGTTTAGCCTGCTTTAAGAGTGACAGATATACGGGGACAAATCTCAAATTAAATGATGGATGACGGTTCAAATAATCCCCAATATTTTTAGTATATGTCGAACAAACGGAGCTCCTTTGCCTTAAATATCCAGCTCTGTGGATCAAGATGTTGGGTATTATTTAATGTGTCATGTAAGATGACAGTATGGCCTTAATCTTGTATCCTTAGAATTAAAAAATAACATTCTAGAGAAAGGTACAAGAGGCAGTTTGCCCAGAGTATCGACTAAAATGGTAAAAATACTTATATATATATATAAATTAAGAGTAAATTGTTAATATTTATAGCTTAAAAGTGATGACTAAGTTGTTTAAAATTTGTTAAACGGGATGACGAAAGCCCTTTATCTCCTCCCATCATAAACCCCCCCCCCAATGCTGGCCTGCACCCAGTCTGTAATGGGATTAGTGGGTCTCTCACACACACACACACACACACACACACACACACACACACACACACACACACACACACACTGTATTAAAGCAGAGTGTTGCTATAGGCCTCAGTGTTGGGGGGTGGGATGCAGCCGGGTTGGCATGAAGTACACACACACACTCTCACACACACACACACTCTCATACAGACACACACACACACACATACAGACACACACACTCACACACACACTCACACACACACACAAACTCTAACACACACACACACTGTATTAAAGCAGAGTGTTACTATAGGCCTCGGTCTCGGGGGGTGGGATGCAGCCGGGTTGGCATGAAGTAAACTCACACACACACAAACTCTAACACACACACACACACACACTTTATTAAAGCAGAGTGTTGCTATAGGCCTTGGTTTTGGGGGGGTGGGATGCAGCCTGGTTGGCATGAAGTACACTCACACACACACACTCTGTATTAAAGCAGAGTGTTGGCAGCGAGACCCTCTGATACAAATCAGGATCTTTGGTGATGGGTCCAGGTCTGACAGAGGGTCTTTGTGCTCCCCTCTCTCACATTTACACTCTGCCAGGTCCTCTGTTCCCCTCTCGAGGAACAACAAAAGGAGCGCTTCTTTATAAGAGTATTATCCGCTTAACGCTGATATATTTTGCCTCTCCACACCTGTCCTACAACTCAACGTCAGCCGTGTTTGTCTCTCTGTGTTGGGGTGGTTACTCAAAAACAGAAATGCATTACACATTACTGGATACCTTTTAAAATAAGTACTTTACTAAATGACTCACTACACTATACTCACAATAGCTTTAGTTACTTCACAGATGTGGATGAATGATGTGAAATATAATCAAGTGTTAAATCAGACTTTAGTTCCACCTGGAGTAAATCCACAAGCTACCCTGCAGTATACAAAGTCATTCAAACTAGCTGCACCTTTACCAGCTTTGAGAACACTTTCATGATCAATCATTATAAAACATATCATATATATTATTCTGAAATGGACCAATCTGCACAATGACTACTTTCACTGTCGCTACTTTAACTATATTTTGATGATAATGCTTTTATACTTTTACTTGAGGAACATTTTGAATGCAGGACTTTTACTGTAACAGAGTATTCCTACACTCTGGTACTTCTACTTTTACTCAAGTACAAGATTTGAGTACTTCTACTTTTACTCAAGAACAAGATCTGAGTACTTCTACTTTTACTCAAGTATGATATCTGAGTACTTCTACTTTTACTCAAGTACAAGATCTGAGTACTTCTACTTTTACTCAAGTACAAGATCTGAGTACTTCTACTTTTACTCAAGTACAAGATCTGAGTACTTCTACTTTTACTCAAGTACAAGATCTGAGTACTTCCACTTTTACTCAAGTACAAGATCTGAGTACTTCTACTTTTACTCAAGTACAAGATCTGAGTACTTCTACTTTTACTCAAGTACAGATCTGAGTACTTCTACTTTTACTCAAGTACAGATCTGAGTACTTCTCCACCTCTGTATGTATCTCAGTAACGCTGTTTGTACACAAATACCCTCACATATATCTCTAAAGATTTGAAGCTTCAGCAGAAAGCTTCCACTTGGACGCGGTGCAGATTAATTCTGTCGTAGAAACAAAATGTGTCGGAAGAGAAACGTTTCAGCGTCTGGATGCCAAGCTGCAGCGATGCCAGTGAATCACACCCTGGGAACGGCTCGCAGGCGTGCAGCCATTAAAGACAGCACTCAATGATCTCTTTGTTCTTTCTCTGTGTGCAAGCTCTTTGGATCTGATTGTAAAAATACAGCGCCTGCATGTATTGGATGTGTGCACAGTCAGGTGTGTGTGTGCAGGACTGAATGTTGTCGAGTGTTACGTTGTGTTTCTTTTATTGTGTACATGTGAATGCAATATGTGTGTAAATCTCCACCATAAAGCTGTATGGAGTGATCATAAAACGTTACGAGCAAAGCTATTAACTTCAAATCAGCTTTTCTTGGCAAAAACACAACATTCCTTTCATGTGCGACATTTCAAAAGCAGATTTATACTTTCCTGTTGTGATGTGTTATAGAGTGGTGCGGGGACGACGTGTTTCTTTGTTGGACCCTGAAGGCAGCATCTCCTGGTCCAATGGGATTTCTCCATTGGATTATTAATCTTGTTTATGATATGTACACGTTTAGTTCAGCAGGATAATCTCCACATGTTAACACCACTTCATGATAAAAATCTAATGTTGGGCTATAAAGGAACTACAGCACGGTCACATGACTTCACTTCACCACCGCTAAGCTAAAGGAGGCTAATGTTGGGCTATAAAGGAACTACAGCACGGTCACATGACTTCACGTCACCACCGCTAAGCTAAAGGTGGCTAATGATGGGCTATAAAGGAACTATAGCACGGTCACATGACTTCACGTCACCACCGCTAAGCTAAAGGGGGCTAATGTTGGGCTATAAAGGAACTACAGCACGGTCACATGACTTCACGTCACCACCGCTAAGCTAAAGGTGGCTAATGTTGGGCTATAAAGGAACTACAGCACGGTCACATGACTTCACGTCACCACCGCTAAGCTAAAGGTGGCTAATGTTGGGCTATAAAGGAACTACAGCACGGTCACATGACTTCACGTCACCACCGCTAAGCTAAAGGTGGCTAATGATGGGCTATAAAGGAACTATAGCACGGTCACATGACTTCACGTCACCACCGCTAAGCTAAAGGGGGCTAATGTTGGGCTATAAAGGAACTACAGCACGGTCACATGACTTCACGTCACCACCGCTAAGCTAAAGGTGGCTAATGTTGGGCTATAAAGGAACTACAGCACGGTCACATGACTTCACGTGACCATCGCTAAGCTAAAGGAGGCTAATGTTGGGCGTGATGACGTTTAGTCGTCTCATTTAGACTCTTGTTAGCAACCGCTGTTTTTAAATTCACCAGTGGGGTATTTACTGACGTAATTCATGTCGTAGAACAAAAGTCTCTTCTGTGTTAACCACACGCCAAAAACACATTTATAAAACACTTCAACGCAAGAGAACAGGAAGTGCAAACATGCCTCTAACTTCAGGGTTTAGGACTCATTCCTGCACCACTCTAATGTTGCTTCATCCCTCGTGTAACAGGAACTCATGTGTTCTCGCTCTCTGCATCTTTCTCCACTCTCCTCTAATAGAAATGTCTGTGTTGGCAGGGAGTCCCCGAGCTACAGCCTCCGCGCTGCACTTCCCGTCTCCCTCCATCATCCAGCAGTCCAGCCCCTACTTCACCCACCCCACCATCCGGTACCACCACCACCCGGGACAGGACCCCCTGAAGGAGTTCGTGCAGTTCGTCTGTGCCGACGGATCAGGGCAGTCATCCGGACAGGTAAGGACGTTTAAACTGTAACTGCACATGTGCCGCACCTCGCATGCCTTGGAGTTGCAGGATTCTTCCATCTGGTTATAGTGTTTGATGCAGTTAGCAATTATAGTGATTATAAAACAGAAAGTAGAAGAACATCATAAAAAGGTGCATTGCCGAGTATTGTATAATTGTGCATTCATAAACACAGTAGGAGTTAAGTTGTAAAATAAGAGCTAACAATTAAAAAATATATTATAACATTACAAAATAAGACAAAATGTTAAAATATGAATCTGCAAAAAATTATTTAAACAAGGGATTAACAATTAACTCTAAAAAAGTAAACAAATGGAGTATATATAAGCATATTAGTGCTGAAATGTGATATGGAAGCTACAATAATTATTATTATCATTAGCAACCTAATTATACAATTTGACAACTACTGTTCTTGGTATCAAAATGTAAGTACTAAGAATTTATAGCATTGGAATTTTACTTTGAAAACCATTTGTCTAATTTATTGTGGTTTGATTTCCCCTTTTTGAAATTCAAAAATGTTCACAAGTTTGGTTTGTTGGATCCAGTGGAAAAAATCTAATTTAAAGAAACACGTTTTACGGCTTGGTTTGAATTTATATATTAGATTTGGATTGATCTGAATTTGAACCTACGTTTTCCGAGTTATTGTTAAATATGTTTTGAATTTGTAAACCTGAGAACAAACTTGAAATCTGAGAATTCAAAGGACTGCAAACCACAGAAAAAATTCAAATACTTCCAATGTTATGTTTGCTTACATTTCTAAATAAGAGCGCTCAAGGTGAACACAGAAACACACCTCACAAGTAAACACACTAGACATTTGTTTACTCAGTCAGTCTACAAATCTTTGTATTGTCTTGTCAATGTCATTTTTACTGTTTCAGACCCCAACGTTTTTCCCTTCCTCCCCTTTTTCTTATTTTTAATTTATATTTCGCTCCACCAAACCCCCTCAGAAGTTCTCATCAGAGTGAATCAGTCACAGAAACCTCCCGTCCTGTGTTGTTGTTCCATCGTGTTTCTGTTTCCATCTCTAGCCGATTTCACTCGGAGTTTGGTTGTTTGGTGCTGGTATCGTTGGTGGTGTTGTGCTTGTGTAGACGAGTCCCATGGTTTTTTGATTTCTTGCCATCTTCTTGGACAAACCCAGTCAATAATGTGCTCACTTCCCTCCTCCTCCACCCACCATGGACCCCCTGCTGTGGAGCCTCTCACCTCCCTCTCAAACCCCGTGGTGATTATTATTTGTCACACCTCCATAAAAGATCCACATACATAATTCCTTTGGTTGTTTTTTCCCCACCTTCCTCCCTCTTTTCCACCATCCCCTCCCTCCGTCATGGATTTTTTTTTGGAGCTCCTGAGCCGCGTCCATTTCTTTTTCCATCTCGTTTTTTTTGCGGATTGTCGCATGTCGTCCTCCTGACCCTATTTGTGTGTCTGCAGCCAAACGGGAGCGGCCAGAGCAAAATGCCGGGCTCCTTCTTGCTGCCTCCACCTCCCCCAGTGGCCCGCCCAGTGCCCCTCCCCATGTCCGACTCTAAACCCAACAGCACGCCCCCCGACGGCGGACTCTCCTCGCCCGCATCTCCGTGTAAGTGACCCCGCAGAGACAAAAACCAAACCGACAACAAAAATCCCCGAAACCCTCTCCAGTGAAAAAAAGACCCCTCCTGCCATTGTTCTTCCTTACAACTTCGTGCCCATCATGTTCCTGTTTATCCAACATCTCACCCTCCGTTAACCGTGGGAAGCTAATGGAAACCCGCACAGGACAAACTGTGGAGCTCAGAGTAGATCAAGGACACGTATTTATTTTATAACGGACTCCTGTGGTGCTCCTCAGGGCTCTGTATTGGGCCCCCTCAGTTTGAGTCCATTCTGTGTTGAGGAAACTGCAAAACCAACCAAGTTCTTTCATTTCATGATGGACTCACTAGCAAACCTTACAAATAGATTGATTTATTGGTTAGTTAGTTGTGAAGAGCACGAATAGAGTGGTGCAGGGATGAGTCCTAAAACCCGCAAAATACATTTTACCACTTCAGGTTCCTTGATCATGAAGTCAATGGTCTTTTGAACGTGTTTTTTGAACGCCAAGCCTAAAATAAGGAAATAACAAGCTGAAGATTCAAGGCTTTACCATCATGTGCTCAGCAGCACAGTGTAGATATGGCAATGAAAATCTGAAGTCACAGGCTCTTGTTTCAACAGTGAAACATGAATATATATAGGACATAAAACAGATTCAATTGTGCGAGAGAAGGTTTTGAGTTGTGCAAGTTAATACACATAAAATAGAAATAGTGCAAGAACAGTCTATATACAAGTAAATGGAATGTGAGATTCTAACATTTAGTTCTAATTTGAAAACGGGGGTTGCGAACAAGTGTCTAAATGAGACGACTAAACGTCATCACGCCCAACATTAGCCGCCTTAAGCTCAAAGATCATAAAGTGGTGTTAATATGTGGAGATTATCATAAACGTGTGTTGGCCAAAAAGCTTTTTTCTTGCAATATACAGAAATCAAATTAGAGGAATACCATGGCTTTTTGTCAAGTTAGCCCTTGCGATGCTAACTTTAAGGTTAGCATTCAAAAATTATCCCTACACCACTCTATTTAGGGCACCTCTGCTATGGAAACCCATACAGGACTTTCTGTGGATCTCAGAGTAGATAAAGACTAGATATCTTTTATAACGGACTCCTGTGGTGCTCCTCAGGGTTCTGTATTGGGCCCCATCAGTCCATTTTGCGTTGGGGAAACTTCACAACCAACCCAGTTCCTTTTATCCCATGATGGACTAATTAGCCAACTTCAGAAATGTATGTTGAATATTTATTGAGTCTTACTTACGTAAAGAGCCCACATTCAGGGCAGTTAAGTTATTTCTACTCCGAAACACTCCAGTAGAAATTGGGACGCTGATGGAAAGTTAGTTACTTGTTTTTGGTTAGTAGGATATTTTTTGTGATTGTTAAGATGGATAGGGTGTGTTTTTAAGATCCAGTCGTGGGGCTTTTCTCACAACACCTGTGATAGGAGGGGCACTGGATGGAGCACCTTTTTGTTTTTGTAGCTTTCCTTTAAACATAGTGTTTGCGTTTTACCCCCCAGTCAGCGTGTCCAAGTCTTTTATGTCTTATGTATGTTATTCCAGTTCTTAGAAACACATGGATACTGTATATGTCCGTAAATTCTCCTTCTCTCTGTCTCTCTTCTTCTTGTCCTGCCTCCTTTTCCTCCACACAAACACACAAGTCTACACACTGCAATCCCTCAGTGAGTTTCAGAAGCTGGAGTCCGTTGGGTACCGAAGAACTGCCCTAAATTTGTCAGAAGCTTTGATGCCAGTGGGTTTTTAAAGTCCCTGACTGATCCCTCAATGTCAGGATCCTGGTGTGATCAATCACTTCAAACTGAGCTTATCAGCGGGATTTAATCACTCAGGGAAATCTAAGTTTGCATATTAGACACTTGTCCGTTGAGTTTTGATGACCTCAATGCAATATATCAGTACTTTCTGTTTTAGTAAATTAATTTATCACAAGGTTTATAATCCAGTAGATTTACTGTATGCTATACTTTCTTAATGGAAAGTTTGACCCTTTTTTTCCTGGCATGAGTTACCACTAAATGTACGATAATTATGAAGTAGCCTAGCTTAGCATAAAGACTGGAAACGGATAAACAGCAAGCCTGGCTCTGGTCAAAGGTAACATAATCTGCCTACCAGTAGTTTAGCGGTGGTGACGTGAAGTCATGTGACCGTGCTGTAGTTCCTTTATAGCCCACCTTTAGCTTAGCGGTGGTGACGTGAAGTCATGTGACCGTGCTGTAGTTCCTTTATAGCCCAACATTAGCCACCTTTAGCTTAGCGGTGGTGACGTGAAGTCATGTGACCGTGCTGTAGTTCCTTTATAGCCCAACATTAGCCTCCTTTAGCTTAGCGGTGGTGACGTGAAGTCATGTGACCGTGCTGTAGTTCCTTTATAGCCCAACATTAGCCTCCTTTAGCTTAGCGGTGGTGACGTGAAGTCATGTGACCGTGCTGTAGTTCCTTTATAGCCCAACATTAGCCTCCTTTAGCTTAGCGGTGGTGACGTGAAGTCATGTGACCGTGCTGTAGTTCCTTTATAGCCCAACATTAGCCTCCTTTAACTTAGCGGTGGTGACGTGAAGTCATGTGACCGTGCTGTAGTTCCTTTATAGCCCAACATTAGCCACCTTTAGCTTAGCGGTGGTGATGTGAAGTCATGTGACCGTGCTGTAGTTCCTTTATAGCCCAACATTAGCCTCCTTTAACTTAGCGGTGGTGACGTGAAGTCATGTGACCGTGCTGTAGTTCCTTTATAGCCCAACATTAGCCGCCTTTAGCTTAGCGGTGGTGACGTGAAGTCATGTGACCGTGCTGTAGTTCCTTTATAGCCGTTAGCTTTTTACTTCAGAAATCATAAAGTGGTGTTAATACGTGGAGATTATCCTGCTGAACTAAACGTGTAAGTATCATAAATGTTGAGATTATTTTCTGCAATAATCCAAAACCACATGGAGAGATGTCCCATTGGACCAGGTAGATGCTGCCTTCAGGGTCCATCATAGAAATACGTCCTCCCTGCACCACTCTTTGTTTCTATTCCTTTAAACCACACGCTCCCTGACCTTGTGTCTCTCCTCTGTTCCTCCAGCATACTCCACGCCAGGCGCCTCAGCTTCCAACAGGTTTGTCGGCATCGGATCACGGGACAACAACTTTCTGAACATCCCGCAGCAGACGCAGGTAGAGAAACACTCTGATGATTTGATTTGATGTATTTCGAACGTGTAAAACAATATATATATACAAACAATTATAATAATAATGAAATGAAACAAGAGAATTATGATACTGTACAAACTTAAGCAGTATCAAATTGATGAACAAAAATATGATTGACTTACAAATGATATATAAACACATTTTCTATCTAATTACACATCCGAAAAGGGTTGGGAAGAAGTTTACACCTTTTTAATCCCACCCCTTCTCCCAAAAACTAAATTATTAACATTTCTACTCTGTTAAAGACGTCTGTTTTGAATGTGATTAAACTCAGGAAACTTGTTAACTCTGTGGATGTTCGCCAACATATTTCGTATTCCCCTCTTCCCTGGTTTCCTCCACCTCTCCTCTCAAAGCACACCATCACATCTGTATTTTACTGAACCATATGTGCTCCGATCCGTTTATTTGGCTCGTATGGAGACTAACATCCAGGCCTTCTCCCTCGCTGCCTCTTCGCTAATTCTCCTTTCTATCCAATGCAGAGGTTGCGCTAGACTTTTTCGCTGCCCGTCATTTTGACGGACAGGATCGTAACATTTCCGTCAAAATCCATTATAACCCGTCGGCCTGTACACTACTCTACCGGAGGAGGCACACTCGCTTGTGAACTGTTAGCGCCGTGTTATGCATGCCCACTGCACCTCGCAGGAGCGCGCGCAGCGTAAAGCAAGTACTCACAGACATTTCAATGATCTGTTCGGCAAAATTAGGTTTGGAAACTATATCATTTCCTTTTGGGAGGGCATGCATAATAACATGGCATAACACCGGAGCCCCGCTGCGGGGAAACTTTGGTGCTGTTCTGAGTTTGATCTAATCTGTCAAAATGACGGACGGCTTTCAGATTTTTCCGTCATTGTTAAAAAAAAAACGTCATAGACGGAAAATATTCGGTTAACGCGACCTCTGATCCAATGTGAACTTCACTTTAGTTGAAATACAAATACTATGGTCTTAAAACCGTGCATTACAAGTAAAAGTGTAAAAGTCCAAATTTAAAATGGAATACAAAGGTGTTAAAAAGGCAACATGTAATTCTTGTAAGTATTAAAAGTACTCAGTGTGCAGAATGGCTCTTACCACAGTATTATAGAGTGTTTTTATTCTGTTCTCATCATCGGAAATACATATATCATGAGAAAAGGTACTGGATGATATTCGAAGTGCTTCATGGTTGATTGTAAGTTGTTCTAGATAAAAGTATCAGCTAAATCAAAAGTGTAAAAGTGGTCCAGGACTCAGGTTTTAATTCAATGTAGGTTTAAACATTTTGGGAATGTGCTTTGGTGTATAATGCGTGTATAATATTGCATACATAAACACAGAAATAGGAATGTATTTGTATAAAGGGGCAAATATACAACTATTATAAACTTAAGAGTCCAATATGACAACCTATTATAAGAGCTTTGCAGTTTTAAAAGCGGAAGTATTGTGCAGAAATCACAGAGGAACGTCCAGAGTTTACAGACTGTAAAAGTAGCCAGAGATGGCAAAAGTACACACTTCCTTTACTCAAGTAGAAGTACACATACTCGTGTTTAAAAATACTCTGGTGAAAGTAGAAGTACTGACTAAACTTCTCAAGTAAAAGTAAAGAGGGCTTTGAAATGTACTTCAGTAAAAAGTACCCATAACTAGCAGCTGTTTTAAAGAGTACCTGACCTCCCTTTATATTAATAGAACAATAATGTCATTGTTAGCTAATGAATGTTTCCATGCTGAACAACGGCAACATGACAACGTTTTCATTGGTCCCTCTTCTTTAGAGAAGACCAGGAAATGATGGATACACGGATCGTGTTCAAATCAATAGGCAAGCAATGACTCTAAATAATAATGATCACGCCACCAAACACACATTCAAACTAAAGGAACCAGCCTGTTTGGGAAATGTAAGAAGTAGAAAGTACAGGTATTTGTGTTCAACATGTAAGAAGTAGAAAGTACAGGTATTTGAGTTCAACATGTAAGAAGTAGAAAGTACAGGTATTTGTGTTCAACATGTAAGAAGTAGAAAGTACAGGTATTTGTGTTCAACATGTAAGAAGTAGAAAGTACAGGTATTTGTGTTCAACATGTAAGAAGTAGAAAGTACAGGTATTTGTGTTCAACATGTAAGAAGTAGAAAGTTACAGGTATTTGAGTTCAACATGTAAGAAGTAGAAAGTACAGGTATTTGTGTTCAACATGTAAGAAGTAGAAAGTACAGGTATTTGTGTTCAACATGTAAGAAGTAGAAAGTACAGGTATTTGTGTTCAACATGTAAGAAGTAGAAAGTACAGGTATTTGAGTTCAACATGTAAGAAGTAGAAAGTACAGGTATTTGTGTTCAACATGTAAGAAGTAGAAAGTACAGGTACTTGAGTTCAACATGTAAGAAGTAGAAAGTACAGGTATTTGTGTTCAACATGTAAGAAGTAGAAAGTACAGGTATTTGTGTTCAACATGTAAGAAGTAGAAAGTACAGGTATTTGTGTTCAACATGTAAGAAGTAGAAAGTACAGGTATTTGAGTTCAACATGTAAGAAGTAGAAAGTACAGGTATTTGTGTTCAACATGTAAGAAGTAGAAAGTACAGGTATTTGTGTTCAACATGTAAGAAGTAGAAAGTACAGGTATTTGTGTTCAAAATGTAAGAAGTAGAAAGTACAGGTATTTGTGTTCAACATGTAAGAAGTAGAAAGTACAGGTATTTGTGTTCAAAATGTAAGAAGTAGAAAGTACAGGTATTTGTGTTCAACATGTAAGAAGTAGAAAGTAAAAAGTCGTCAGAAAAATTAGTAAAGTAGCTAAAAAATGGAAATACCCAAGTACAGGTATGTCAAAATAGTACTTCACTAAATCAACTTTGTTTCATTTAAAACCATTGCTTTCCTTCCTCCCTCCTTCCCCTCCTCCCTCCCTCCTTCCTCCCTCCCTCCCTCCCCTCCTTGTTTCCTTCCCTCCTCCATTACCACCAGTACTTTTCTCATTAGTGTCTCCCCCCTCCCACCTGGAGGCTCTGAACACATGGAAACCATCTGAAGCTCATCCTCAATCTGTTTCTCTGCACTCTTACTTTCCATTTCCCCCCCATTACTGACACTATTCCCCCTTCATCACTTCATCACTTCCTCACCTCCTCACTCTTCTTTTGCTCATCCGCTTTTCACACTGTTATTTGACATACATTTACTTTTCAGACATTCAACTACTTCATATAATACCTCTCTCTCCACTTAGAGTCAGTCTCCAAACAACACATGTACACACATGATGTGCTTATATGATGACATCAGCAGGAGAGGACTCTTTAAAGTAGAGACACTACATACTGATATACACCTGAACATCAGCAGGAGAGGACTCTTTAAAGTAGAGACACTACATACTGATATACACCTGAACATCAGCAGGAGAGGACTCTTTAAAGTAGAGACACTACATACTGATATACACCTGAACATCAGCAGGAGAGGACTCTTTAAAGTAGAGAAACTACATACTGATATACACCTGAACATCAGCAGGAGAGGACTCTTTAAAGTAGAGACACTACATACTGATATACACCTGAACATCAGCAGGAGAGGACTCTTTAAAGTAGAGACACTACACACTGATATACACCTGAACATCAGCAGGAGAGGACTCTTTAAAGTAGAGACACTACATACTGATATACACCTGAACATCAGCAGGAGAGGACTCTTTAAAGTAGAGACACTACATACTGATATACACCTGAACATCAGCAGGAGAGGACTCTTTAAAGTAGAGACACTACATACTGATATACACCTGAACATCAGCAGGAGAGGACTCTTTAAAGTAGAGACACTACATACTGATATACACCTGAACATCAGCAGGAGAGGACTCTTTAAAGTAGAGACACTACATACTGATATACACCTGAACATCAGCAGGAGAGGACTCTTTAAAGTAGAGACACTACATACTGATATACACCTGAACATCAGCAGGAGAGGACTCTTTAAAGTAGAGACACTACATACTGATATACACCTGAACATCAGCAGCAGAGCACTCTTTAAAGCATAATATCTCCTCCTCTGACACACTCTCCGTCTTGTGATCACTTTTCTCTCCGGATCATCATCAATCTTTTTTCGTGTCCTTTTCTCTGAAAGGCACATGCTAATCATTAGCTCTGTGTGCTTTGGTTCTGCGTGTGAAAGTAGAACCAGACTGCAGACGTTATGTCAGAACCGAACATCAATATGAAGACAGGCGACACGGCCAAAAACACGTCAATTATTCATATACTTAGTGCTTTTGGCGTAGAGCTGTTTCTGATCGTTTAAAACGCTGTGCAATAGACTCAATGGCTGCAGCAATAAGAACAAATACATATAATATTAATAATATAATAATAATATAATAATACATGGGATTTTTATAGCGCTTTTCCTAATGCTCAAAGACGCTTAAATATAATATAGATATATAAGATACAATAAGATAGAGTAGAATAAATACTGTAATAATACATAAATATAAGTGTGTGTGTGTGTGTGTGTGTGTGTGTGTGTGTGTGTGTGTGTGTGTGCGCGCATGTGCGCGCATGTGCGTGTGTGTGTACTTCATGCCAACCCGGCTGCATCCCACCCCCCAACACCGAGGCCTATAGCAACACTCTGCTTTAATACAGTGTGTGTGTGTGTGTGTGTGTGTGTGTGTGTGTGTGTGTGTGTGTGAGAAAATAAACTTATAGTTCCAAAAACCTATTGCAGGAGAGCCAGTTTCAAAATATAATATTTGTTATATCTGGATCATTATGACTCATAGTGATGCATGAATGTGTTCATTTATGCAGCTGGTACAGGTGGAGCTCATACTGACTCATTCATTGGTTCAGATTCAGAATACTTAAGTGTCCATTAAATTGACATCCAATGGAAATGAGTCTTTGGCAAATAACGTGAAATAACACTCACTGTTACGGCTATACAGTAGGCAGTCCAAATGAAAAGGCAGTGAGGGTTCAATACGGGGATTTATTGCAGGGAAAACAAGCAGAAATACAATATATCCAAGTGCAGATAACGTTTAGTGCGATGCCACTGATAGTTAAGGATACTGTGGTGGAGAAAGGTTGCAGGATTCCAGTATACATTTGACAGTTTGGGTTTCTTTGTCGCCCACCACCTACAACAATACACAAGAAATACCACATAATAAATAGAAACTCTCCATACACAGGACAACATGCACACAAAGAGGGAAACTGCATCTTAAAGTGACTTAAAGTGGTTTGTTCTCCCTCTGGTTTAGGTCCATTTAAACATCAGTTGTATTAGAAATAATAACATGTACTTTACAAAATACAATTAGGTGGTGGTGTTGGTGGCAGAATGTCCTAATAAGGATCCTTGACGCTTTAATATCATTCAAGGTGACACTTATATATTTTGAATTAATGATATCCAATCCAACTTTATTTATATAAGCACATTTAAAAACACCAGAGTTGACCAAAGTGCTGTACATCGATAAATATTTAAAAAGCAACATAAATACATTTAGACAAAACTGATAGGACAAAGACACTAATGTAAAAGCACGAGACAATAAAACCATTCTTATCGCCTCAGACTCTCATACACGATGTACAAACATTTAAAAACACGACAAAATAGAAAACCCCAATTTAGTGTGCTTCACCACAGACTGATAGGACCCTGCAAAGTTGGTAGTGGAGTAAGAATAAAAGAATAATGAAATGGAAATACTCAAGCACCTCAAAATTGTACTTAAGTTGAGTTTTTGAGTGCTTTGTGGGGACGCCTCACTCTGTGGGCTCTTCTCGCCCCCCAGTGGCCGATGTGAGGTACTGCATAGAGAGAGTATATGAGGGGGGGTGACAGGGTTTTTTGGCCCTTTAAAGAGTCACGTCCCGGCCGTCTCGTTACCCCCAGCAACCAGACATGATGTCACAGCCATTTGATCTTGAGTTTAAGGAAAAGAAAAGAGGGTGGTGTGTGTCTGCTGCCATGAGTCTAACCGGGAGATAAATGGATGTGTGTGTGTGTGTGAGAGAAGGAGAGTCGCTGCCCAAAAGCAAAGCATGCTGGGACGCTGGAGGGGAGAAAAGGGGGAGGTTTGGGGGGGTTTATTCATGCAACCTGTTAGAGTCAAACACAACAACAGGCCGTTTCCCTCCTCCCTCCCTGAGGCTCAGAGGAGTTTCCAAAGCTTGACTTCCAGGATTTTGCTGCCAGATAAATCTGACCCCGATCTGCACCCGGATCACGCTGAGCGGCCATTTACTGCCCGCCAAACCAAAAACACACAAAGTGCGCTACAGAAATACAGAATAGTGGTGCAGGAGTGAGGCCTAAAACCAGGACATCAGGTTTCTCTTTAGACATGCAAAAGTTAAACCTGTGCACAATTTGAATGTCAACTTTTACCAGCGTAGAATCAGTAGAACTGTGTTTCAAGGAAGGGCTATTGTGTTGGGATTGCTTCAGATTGTAAAGGGTTCAAAGCGATTCATGTCATCATATTCATATATATATATATATATATATTTATTACATGGTTTAGTTGAATACTCGATTCTGATTGGTCAATTCAGAACACGTGACACGTTGTTAATCCAGAACAGACAGACCGCTGTCAAGGATTTATGACCGTTGTTAAGGACGCTCAAATCTGCAGAAAGAAGTCCGGTCGATTGAACTGTATACAGTTTGGCTGAAAAGCAAACTGCATGCAGTTTGCTTTTCGAACTGACAAGACAAGAGACGCTCAGAAAGAAGTTCGGTCATTTAACGCCAAAGCCTTCTACCTTCACCCACTAAAAAAGGACCAACAGCTTCTCAACGGTGAATCAGTGTGGTATTCACGTGAGCCCATGGGACATAATTTCCTTGGGCAAATGCTACCCACAATAAGCCAGGCAGCCCAGTTTTCAAAGCGCTACACAAACCATAGCTTGAGAAGCACGGCTGTACAACTGCTCTCTCAGGCTGGTCTTGGATCAAAAGAGATCATGCCTGTGACTGGGCACAGGTGAGAGCAGCCTGAAGAGTTACTGGGCTCCAACAATAACCGAAAGGGAGAAATGGAGCAACATCCTGTCCTCCAACCCAGGAAATAGTACCACATCGGGTCAGTGCCTTTCCATGTTGTCTGTCCTTACACACACATTAGCGGTAGCGATACAACTGTGGCAATATTGTTTCCCGTTTTTTTACATGTTGGGAATTGTGCTTTCAGATGTGTCATCTGCGAAACCCCCGCAAGGAGAGAGGATCGAGGACAGAAACGTTGATCTCAATATCCCTAAAGATTTCCCATTCACCATGTCACATTGTACTATTAATGGAAACGTTCAGGTTAATGTTAATTACAGCTAAGGCTCAAATGCTAACATGCACAGAGTTAGTTGCTATCGAAGCAGTTCCTGCCGTTGCAACAGCCTAGTTCAAACATCAACAACGGACTATTTTTCGTAGCGGATGAATGTCATTTTAAATCAGTTACAACTATGTTTTTAATCATTAAAACATTTTCTAAAACAATAAAAGCATTTCAATATTGGGAGTCATATCGTTACTTTGTTGAGAATGTGGCCATGTAATAAGCGGGATAATGTGCAGCGACTTGACCGCATAATGACCGCGTCGCTGCACATTATCCCTTACATATATAATATATTTATATATAACTCTTCACCCTTCAGTAAAGGGAACAGAGAACTTCCACACCACCACTATGTTCAATATAAATTACCATCATTACAAAACACTCTGCTATATAACATGTGCAATATTATTATTAATAATAATGTGCTATAATAACGTGCAATTACTTAACTACCACTACGGTTTTTGCACTACTAAATACTGTTAATATTTACATTGATAATGTGACCCAGCGTTTCCGCCAGGGGGCGTCTTGCCGTCATTTGACGCCCTTATTCAGCTCGGGACGCCCTGAACTCGAGCCGAGGGCGTCCAACAAAAATTATAATTCGAGAGAAGATCGAGTTTTTATCGCTTGAAATAACGAAAAGGAAAAAGGACATCTCTCTGTTGGAGGGGCAAAGGAGTCTGGTGGGATTCTTTTCGGAGTATTGAAGATCGTTCCCCCGACATCGGCGAAGCCTGCTACAGGACAACACGGGACGTGCGAGATTTGGACGCGATGGGGGGGGTGCTAGTGGAGCACGCGCGTGAACTGCGAGCACCAGAGCCTCGCAGCGGCGAAACTGAGGCTCCGTGGTGAACTGTGGTAACATGAAGAGCCGTTATAAAATAAATAAATAATAATAATGACACACTTTATTTATATAGCCCCTTTCATGATGCTTTGAATGCTCAAACTCTGGTTCCTTTATTCATTGATTTGGTGTTTATGTGATTCTATCCTGGTGAATGCACACTTTACTGGTTGTAATGTCATCTCATTCCCTTCTTCCTCCTCTCTTCTGTTTCAGTCTTGGTTCCTCTGACAAGATCTGTGCCCCAACCAGCAACAAGAGTTCTTTCTTTACAATCGGAAATAAGAAGAGAGAGATCCAAAACCTGTCCTCCAACAAACCCACCGACCTGACAGTACGTCCCACCTGATGTTTAGGAAATACACCCGAAGCAACGCAGGAAACCACAGCAGCTTTTCAGAGGAACTCATTTTATCCAGTCAGAGGGAGATGAAGCGATGGAGAGGAGAAGATGAATGGATGGACAAGATGGACGCCGGGATGAAGCACAACTGAGGAGTTTTGTGTAAAGAACGACAGAGAAAACCCAACAAAATCAGGTTTCTACATCACATTTCCCCGCATTGCATCCACAAAGGTGTCCGCTGAAAGCTGCAGTCCTGTGACGTCCCCCAAATTGTCCAAATGTCCCTCTGAAAAAGACTCGACAAAGTCCCTTTTTACCCTGCTACTAACTAGAGAGAGACCATGCCAAAACATATCTCCATTTAAGGGTTGCACTAGAAGCCGAATTAATTAACACTAATCCTAACGATGTGCACTATTTACCTGCGAGGCATGGGAGGTGAACCCTTCTGATGAGAGTTTTAAAGAGGAAACAACTCAACCCAACCCCCCCATCGACCAATCATTGGCCTCCGCTCACTTTCCCCGCACAACACACACACCATGAACATGATTAAAAAACACACACACACAGTTTTAGATCGTAGTATCCATAGGTGGAGGTGTGTGTTACCATATCTGTATTCTACACACACACTAAGCCCAGTGAACAATTCAATTAGATATCCAAACAACACACACAGATAATCCCAGTGTGTGTGTGTGTGTGTACTGACAGTGACTTTAGACAGCAGCTATTGGTTCCCCCTTTGCCCTCTTATTGTAATGTAGATGAATGATTTTGTTATCTCTTGTGTGTTCTCTCTTATTTGAATTTATTCCTTTTGGATTTGTACTATTTTTTAATTGTTTTGTATTTGAATGACAGCACCTTATAGAGAAACACAATAAGACGTGGGATGTTGAGGCGGTGACGACAGGGTGCGGCTGACCCGGGTCAAACAGTGACAAAACTCAAAGACATAGATTGGCGTTTATTTTGGGGAGATAAAGAATTTTTACCAAGAGTTAGACGAGAAGAACGATAGCACTCGCGTCTGTATGTGAGATACGAAGCTAAGATGAACAGCTGGTTAGCCTAGCTTAGCATTAAGGCTGGAAACAGGGGCTAACAACACATTGATTTGTGCAATATTCTACGAAAAGACATACAAATATTAGGAATAACAAAAGTATTTTAAAGAAACAGGTTCAGTATCCTGTGTCCTATCCAATATACATTTGAATAACTCCTGCTTTTAACAATTTAAATAGAAATTACGCAAAATTATTGAGACATATTGGGAGTAAATAAGTATTTGATAGCATTATTTTTAGCTTCCTAGGGCCCATGCACACTACAGTTAGCATACATGTAGCTTAAATGCTAGCCTAGCTGTTTCCTCCCTGTTTCCAGTGTTTGTGCTAAGCTACGCTAACCGTCTGCTAGCTTCCTCTGTACCACGATGCGCGTGGCGTCCATTTTCTTGTCTAACTATTAGCTTAAAAAAGCTCCACACTATCAAACTGGTGTAATATTCCTCAGCGCCAGATGAACCTGGACTTTGCAGGGTTTTTGACAATCACAGGAAGTTCATTTACCTGCTGACACACACACACACACACACACACACACACACAGATAATCAGCTGTTTGACCCGGGTCAGGCTGCCGGTGGAGAAGAGAGTGATAGACAAACCGAACCGAGGAGGGAAGGTTGCTGAAAACGGGAGAAAAAGAGAGAGTAAATCTTCCTTCTGTCTCCTGGAAAAGTTTACCCTGATGTTTACACTCCCAGACGGGCCGAGGCTCAAAGAGCACAGCGGCCACACTGCGGAGCAAAAATAATGAATATGTGACATATCTGAGCGGAGCGAGGGCCTCTGAGGCTGAGGTGGACGATCACACGGTGCACAAATCTGATTTAGTGCACAGGAAAAAAAAAAGGATATCCCCCCTACACACACACACACACACACCAGCACACCCCCTATTGAGTGGTGCAGGAATGAATGAATGAGCGCGGAAGTTAGTTAGCATTTTTAGCGCTTCCTGTTCCCTCGTCTGGAAGGTTTTTGGTTAGAAACTGGAAATAAGTTCTGTGGTTAACACGAGCTGGAGATATTTTAATTTTACGACATAAATACCCCACTGGTGAGTTTAAAAACGGTGGTTGCTAACGTCAAGGCGCTGAACATTAGCCGCATTTAGCTTAGCGGTGGTGACGTGAAGCCGAATGACGTTAGCTTTTAATTTTGGAGATACATTTACCCTTCCACAACATCAGTAAATACCCCCTATTGAATTTAAAAACGGCGATTGCTAACAAGTGTCTAAATGAGACGACTAAACGGCATCAACATTAGCCTCCTTTAGCTTAGCGGTGGTGACCTAAAGTCATGTGACCGTGTTGTAGTTCCTTTATAGCCCAACATTAGCCACCTTTAGCTTAGCGGTGGTGACCTAAAGTCATGTCACCGTGTTGTAGTTCCTTTATAGCCCAACATTAGCCACCTTTAGCTTAGCGGTGGTGATCTAAAGTCATGTGACCGTGCTGTAGTTCCTTTATAGCCCAACATTAGCCTACTTTAGCTTAGCTTGTTTATCACAGACGTTATTTTCGGCGATAATCCAAAATCCCATGGAGAAATCCCCTTGGCTTTTTGTGGAGGGAACCAGGAAGAAGCTAACTTCCCGATACTTCGTCCCTGCACCACTCTGTTGTGAATCGATGAGCCCTTAATGATCAAAACTGCACTAAAACAATCACACCAGCCAACACACAGACGTATAAAGACCACTCACTATTAACGCCCCCCCGTGCAATTCAAAGGGAAGTCTTAAAAATAGACAATCTGAGGAAGCCTTTTATGCTTTTAAATATCATTCGCCCACGACATAGTATTCAGTTATTTCCTGATAAATCACCCATCCGACCTCACTAAATAACTGGACTGCCTGTTCTTCACTGCAGGGAAACACGACATAGTGGGCCGACATCTCTCCGGAGAGACTGATTTATTTTCTAACCTATGGAAGTGCCTCTGTATTCCCATTATGCAATTTATCAAACATGAATTCAGGTTCTTTTTTCTCACATATAAGCTATAGTGAAAAAACATTTATGTCCGGAGCGACGGTGAGGGGGGAAGTGACAGCTCACTAGATCTTTATATATAATACACATATATATTTATAGATATATACATTTAGTTTTTATTTGCAAGATAAGCTCTGTGGCAGTCTAGTTATTTTTTGAAGCATCTGTACAACTCAAAAAAAAAAAACACGGGATAAAATAGAACCCAAACAGGACAGTGATGATAGCGAGGAGAGTACAAACGGTTTGTTGATTTCTTTGTTTTGATGGGAAGTATTGTTCTTGAAACTAAATGATGTATGTTGATTGAGCCATGTGCAATGCCTTGGTAGAGGTGTTTGTTCGTTAGCGATTGTTTGAGGGTGTCACGAGAAAAAGAGGGAAAAACCCTCGATGTTTTCTTATTTTGTTTTTAAGTCCACGAGCTCCGGGACTCTAAACACGAGGGCGCTAAAAATATCCCAGTCTTTGTACGTAAAGGTCGGGGAAAATGTTTGTTTCCTCTTATTTTTTATGCAATCTTTCTTATGATTTTCTAAAATGTAGGGGAGGGCTGAAGGAACAACTCATACAAATATATATCACTATGAAACCTGGTGCTTTGGTAAAAATAATAAAGTACATTCAATCTCTATTATACATAAATATTAAGCAAACTTTAGGAAAACATGCATTACTCTATTTCTCTTTTGTTCTGTATTTACCGAGGGGGGAGGGGTTCATTCATGTGACAAAAGGCATTTCCCCCCCCCCCAACCTTTTTTTACACCACGGAGGAAAAATCAGTTTGTTGGACGAACTTTTTCCCAAATTTGGGCGATATTTGGTGTTTCGGGAGCCAGTCATGAGGTCACCATTTAAAGTGAACCCCCCCCCCCCCCCCCCCCCTCTGTCCCTTCTTCTTCCTCCCCCACCTCCCACTGTAAATGATTATAAATACTTGTTTGGTGACGTAGTGTTTCTAGACTCAGAGCATCTTAAAGGTTGTCCCTAAAAAGTGCCTTTTGTTCACAGACTCCATCAAAATGTAATCCTGAGTGCCCAAAAAAAAAAAAAAAAAAACTGCGTCCCCCTCCTTCATACTTCTTCTTCTTCTTCTTCTTCTTCTTAAAGCAGTATACATAGTACTAAAGGAAATTGGTGTGATTTAGTTCCTCTTTTATCGTTGAATAATTAAGAAAAGCTTAAAAAAAAAATAAAAAAATCTGTCTTGCTTCCTTCTCTGTGTCTTCTGTCTATCTTGGACACTGGATTAGTCTGTAGCCGCTTCCTCTTCCCCCTCCCCTCCCCCTTTCCTCCCTTTTCCTCTGAACGGCGGGGTTTCCAAAAAGAAAAGCAAAAAAAAAAAATTGAGCAAAGGTTTTTGTTTGTCTGAGCAGAATGCAGTTAGCTCACATGTTATCCTTGTCTTCTGTACGCTTCACATTGTATTACCATACCCATGTTTTCAGCTTCTCCATTCAGCCAGCGCTAATGTAAGTGAACAAGTTACACCACGGGGCTCTGGGCTGCGCCGAGGCTCAACAAATAGTCCCTCTGAAGCAACAGCACCACCTGGCGGAGGGATACGAGCACTCGGTCTAAAGCGCGGCGGGATATAGGACTGCTAGTTGTTTTTTCAAATCTATTTATTTTTGTTATAATTGGATTTAAATTCTTTGTGTGTCACTGTTACTGCGTATCTTAGGCGTTGACACCTTAAACGATGCACCTTTCTAGTGGTTGAGTGAGACCAGCTATTTTTTTATTTTGTACTTTTTAAAAGGAATAAATAAAAAAGACTTGAAGCACCTTATTAAGAGGCGGACCGGTTCCCCCAGAGACTGACGAGGCTCACGTTTTTAGCACAATCATTAAAGAGTATTCACCGACGCCATTCGAGGAAAACATCGCAGTGTTTGATTGACCAAAGCGATATGGGTTTTTAAAAAAGCTGTGCAAAAATAAGTTGTAAAAACAGCACCGTAAAATTCCACCAGCAAAACAAAAATAAAATAAAGTATCTTATATATGCAACTTTTTACTTTTCAAAACAATCGAAGCCAGCAGCAGTATTATCAATCAAGCCTTTGACAAGTGAACGCATCACAGTTTGAGAAGCCATATCGGAGAGGGGCAGGGTGTGTCTGTGTGTGTCTGTCTGTGTGTGTGTGTGTGTCTGTCTGTGTGTGTGTGTGTGTGTGTGTGTGTCTGTGTGTGTGTGTGTGTGTGTGTGTGTTCAGTGTCGCCCCGGCACCGTTCACAGAGCCCAGTCGAACCGTCCGCCGTTTTTCTGTTTTATTCTTTTTTCCTGTTGTTTTTTTTTTAGACATTTTGTAGGTTGCCGGGCAGATTTTAGTTTAGAGAGCCCCCCCCCCCGAAAGTGAGTGCTCCTCCCCCTCCTCCCCCAACCCCCCCCCCCCCCCCCCCCCCCCCCCCCTCGTCCTCAGCGCACCCCCCAGAGCCCCTGGTGAAATGCATGTGTTAATTACAGTTTCTTTTCCATAATAATAATAAAACACAGTTTGAAAAGAGCAGCACCTTTACCTGATTGAATAAAAGGATGTTCTGACTGTACCTCGCCTCCTCGTGTCTTTTCTGCTGGAACAAGTTC